ATATATACATATATATATGTTACATAGATCATTATATACCATGCTTACGAGCACATATATACTATTTTTTATGTTCTTGAATTATATGAATTTATATAGAGAACATTTGGGTAACATAATTTTCATAGACATATATATGCATTAAACTTATAAGAACTATTATAAATTATATTTTAGTATTATTCTAAATCTAAATGTCTAATAAACTATTAGGAATTATTACAAAATATATATATATACTTAATATTATACATACGTGGTGCTTATGTACTATTAATTTTATAGGTAATATAATTATTTTTTTAGTTACAAATTAAAGAATAAATAACGTATCAATACATTTTATATTCGTATTTCATTGATTTTTTGCTAAATTGAAATGCATATATAACCACATTTCATTGTCATAAACGTACATATTATACGTAGATTAAATATATGGGGTATTTTTAAGGATATTTATATATTTCTTTTAACAAAGAATTATATTAATTTTTCATAAATATAATGCATTAATTCATATATAAAATACGATGGTGTGTATTTTTCATATTTTTAATATTATGGAAAATTAAATATATAATATCTCGGCAATAAATTAATATAATATAAGTATAAAATTATTTTCTTGAGAAATATAATATATATTTTTTTCAATAGACTATATTCTACAATGATTTTATCATGTTTTTTTTTATAGTTATTACTCAAAATAGATATTATAATTTATTATTAAGTACATATTTTAAAACTGTATTGAGGTTGTATAATTTATGTTATATATTGCCTTTGGTTAATATAAAAAGAATATACATATAATCATGAAACTCCAAAATTTCCATTTATCTCGTGTATGTTGTAAATTAAATTACATGTTGTTTGATAAATTAATGACATCTCTAATTTTATATTATTCTAGCTTCAATGTTTATATTTTTTAATTATTCAAAAAATCATGTAATGGTACAACATATAAGTACTATTTAATCAAAATATATATAATATAATTTATAGAATCACAGATTTAATATAATATTATTTATTACAAATAATGACATATATATAAATTGTTCATGTAATAATTAAATTGTAAGAATATCTTTACGAATATCCATATTATGTAACGAATTAATAAATAATAAAATATATATAATTTATCATTATAGATAATATCAGATATTCGAAAATAAAAAAAAATAAAATCTAAAAAATGACAAATGGAATATAACAATGAACTATATATATATATAAAATAAATTATAAATTTCATAATTAAAAAAGATAAAAAAAATATATAACAGAAAACGTGATACAAATATATATAAATATAAAAAGATATAACGAAAAATATTAAAGTAAGAAAAAAAAGAATATAAATAAATATAAAATCTAAATACTAATACACCCCTAAATCCTGAACCCTAAATCTAAACGTACACCTAATCCCTAAAACTAAAACCTAACCCTGTAATCATGAACCCTGAACCTAAACCTTAAATACTCTTAAGTTTTACTAAAAATAAGGTTAATAATATCAATCTGAAAACTCATTTGTAACTATTGTTATAATAAATATAATATATATATAAATGCATATAATATATTTTATATAAAGGAATGCATTTATACGTTAAAAATAAATAATGAATAATTGTTTAAAATTGATGATGATAAAGAATTGGCTGCTCTTATAAGATTAAGTATTTATGTTATATTATAATATAATTAAATAAAAGAAATAATACAATAACACATACAATTGCATAAATTTAAGCAAAATAAGATTATAAAAATATGGTAAATTTATTAAGCCAATTATAATAGTATTATAAATTATTATAAAAGTAGTATATTAAAAATATAAATATATATGAGAAAAAATTAATATAATTAATTATAAATAAAAATATGTAATAATTATATATATTCCATTATAATGAATAAATAATAATATATCTAATATTATAATAAGAACACAATCTTACATTTAAAAATCTATACATAAGTTAGTAAAAATTATATACAACATATATATAATAATATATTATATTACATTATAAAAATGTTCATAAATTTAGTCAAATATTAAAAGCAAATCTCAGAATCATTAATCTAAATTCTAAACTTGTACTCTAAAATATAAATCAATTTTCTATAACCTGAAAAATAAGCTATCATATGAATCCTAAAACTATTATAAATACAAAATATTATATTAAATAATACAGATGTATACATGCAAACTTGATTAATCCTGAATAATTATATAATAAAGAATTTAAATATTTATTTATTTTATTTATACAAACTAACAAGTATGTAAATATAAATTAAATGTTTATTTATATATTTCGTTTAATTCAAATTTAATTAAAATTAATTAGATATTATGGACCACTCTAAAATATTAACACTAAATGATAGGTTTAATAAAATAAATCCATTGGTCTTATATTACATATATATTGTAATATAATCAATCAGAATTTAATAAGCTATAGTCTGTTTAATATGCGTGTAAATATAGTAAAACTATATAATTTAAAAAAATTTGTATTACATAGAATCATATAACATTTAGTATATTTGAAGTCTAAATAACATCAACTTATAAATTGATAACATAATAAATTCTTTTATATGATAAGTTTAACTTATTCATTTTTTTAAATGATTCAAATAAAGCATAATGTCTGAAACTGTCAGTTATAAAAATGTAATTTTATATTCGTAATTATATAGATAAATTTTTTTTTATGTATTCATTTAAATACATATTTTTTGGTAAATTAATAAATTTATATATTATTAAGAATATTATATTAATATATTATAAAATATACAATTTTAACTTACAGATTAGATTTGATATAATATTCCCCGAATGTAGAATCGATTTCAATAAAACTATAACTGATTGGAGTAATTTTAATAATATCAGAGCTGAATTATATGCACTCTGTAATGATTTTTTAAAGACTTTTGTGAAATATGAGCAAATGCATAATTTTACATTACAAACCAGTTGTACTGGTCTTGGTCTTTTTTTATATTATATAGCATATAAAAATAAATCTAATGCTAGTTATAAAGAATTAGCTTGTAAATATTTCAATTACAAGTTACAAGACATGTTAAAGAATTATGAATTTATAGACAATGACCCCAAAACAGGCTACAATAATTTGAAACAATATTGGGCCAAGCTGACTAAAAATGATACAAGTTTTCTTGATATATGTAATAATGTGCTTCATAATCTTGAAGCGAGCGCATTTGATATATTTAAGTATTTTGATAAACTATATTTTTTTTTACCATTAATAAAGAACGATAATCTTTGCTCAGAAAATGCAGGAAAATTTAAAGGTTATGTGAATAATTTAAAAGTATATGTATCCGAGAACAATAGTATACGTACTTTACTAAATAATTTAATAAGAGACTATAATGGAAGAATTCATAAAAGTGCATTATGTGATAATGATTTATCTCTGGTAGAAATATCTGTGACTGAAAGTTCTGAGCGTGAAATATCTGTTCCTGAAATATCTGTTCCTGAAATATCTGTACCAAAATCTTCTCCGAAAGGAAATGGAATAAAAGATAACATGATGATACAAGCAATCCAAATAAAACACTCGGGCTTATCAATAGGAATATGGGTAGGAATTGTAGTTTTTTCTTCAGCAATTTTAATAATGGCTTATATTATATATAAGGTTATATATATTGTTTTAATGTAGAAAATATATGTTATAATATTATTCATTTTACACATTATTTTTTAACAGTTATATAAAATTAGTAATATACTTGTAAAATTATATTATTTTTCTCTTTTTATCAGTATACGCGAAATGCTTTATTTATACGACGAAGGGTGAAGAAATTAAAGAAATTGTTGAATATAAACATTGAAAATCGTAATAATGTAATGGGCTCATCTGAAGAAATATATAAAAATAGAATTAATATGCAATATAAAATAGCTTACGTTTAAGTATAACAATCCTACTAAGCACATAATATTATTGAATTAATTCAGCATTAATATATAAAATAAAATTCTAAGATACTCCTTTAATTATTTTTGTAGGTTTCAGGGTTTATTGCAGAGTTTAGAGTTTAGGTTTAATGTTTTAGGAGCATTAAATTTTTTTATAAATTATATCTATATTTACGAATATGATTATAGTAATGAGATAACTATTAATTTTTCTATGTGATAAATTTTATTTTTAAAAAATACTCAACTTAATTATATACCTCGAGAGATGAAATGCGTGAAAATTGCAAGCACAGTGAAATTAATAGGCGTTATCACACCGTAATCTAAATTTTGCAAAATGGGTTAAAAAATAAATAAATCGTATCGCATGGACTATATCCAATTTAGCACATGTGACAATTTATACGTAAATATAATGAACGAAAAGAAGAAATATAATTATTTTTAAGTTAATATATATATTTGTTGGAATATATTGCCCTATTAGTTATATGATTTTTTCTTTTTTATAATGTAATCACTGAAAACTAATGAATTTATAACAAATGTACATATTTTAAGAATAATTATGTGTTATACATAATAACCATGCAATAAAGTTATATTTTATTGGGTAAAATATTTTT